ATCTTATAAATTGATTTTGTAAAGTTGAGTTAAGTTTAAATTTATTTATTAAAATGATATCAAAACTATCCTATATCCTAAATCCTTTATAAAAAGAGTCACCAACCATTTATACATATATTAAGCTAAGTAGTGTTAGGTGTGACACAATGTATTGAGAAAAATTCAAATCTCTCCTATTCTAGATAATTAAAAAAGGTCATCTAATATATCGCTATATATTAAGTCTAATAATATTGAACGTGAAGGTGTATTAAAAAAAAATCAAATCTCATATCTACTAAAGATAAGATAATAAAAAATTCATAAGTATTTAATTAATAATTCTCATCTTAAAATTTTTTTTTATAAGACCGAGTTAGACTTAAACTCACCTTCAAGAACATAGAGGACTTTCCAAACAAACACATGTCTATAACATCATTTCTTTCGTGTGTATATATATCCAAAGACCAAAGTTATACATAAAAATGTATATGATATATGTGTTTAGAATGATAACCCATGTCTAGTTTTAAGTAGAGTATCTGTCTACGCAAATATTACTCCAAATTCAAACCAAATCATTAGTGAAGGACATTTGTTTCAACAATAGTTTGTTAAATACTCTTGAATTTCGATCTACAAGAAAAATGAACTCTTTTTCGTACTCCTAAATATTTTTTCTAAAGAGAGAAACTAATAACTTTACACGTTAAATAAAATCATACAAATTTGGTTCGTTAAATCAAATAATTAATCCAGGACTTTGTTTCAGTCGTACTATTTAAGTCATACAAAATTAGGTTTCAGTCATATTGATTGGTACTGTTGACAAAGATGATTGATGAATAATAATACACTTATGATTAATTGCAATGGTCTTTTCCTCCTAAATAATTATTTCTAATAATTCATAAGCAACAACTTTCATAAGGGAGAATGATTCTACAGAAATTAATTAAATTTCCTTATATCTATTATTTATTTATTTAAGTATTCATTTACCCCTTCATTTGTCAAAGAAGAGGATCCACGAAAGGGAAAGATAGAAATAATTATCAAATAAATGATAAATATTTCTCATAATAAGGATTCACCTACCAATACGAGTCAAGCATCTGACTTAAAAAAACAAAGCATATGCTGTACAGTAGGGCATTTTCCATGTCTAGATAATGTTTGTTATAAGAAGTGTACAAAAATGTTAGGAAAACAGAGAAAAGTGACAAATTTTGCAAGACATTTTGTTCTCTACAATCAGATCCACTCTCGATCTGTTTTCTTCTTCTTAATTAATGTATATTCATATTATACGTAGCACCTTTTCACACCAATCAACAACGTATATATCTTGTTAGCACTCAAAATAAAAAACCTAGAAAAATTAACCATATATGAAATCTTATTCGAAGATTGATGTTTATTATTCATTTTTTTAAGGTTTTGATGCATATATTATCTTTGAAATCGTTGCGAAATAACATTTGACAAGGGATTGACTCAAATGAGAACAATCGTTCCCTCTAAAAGAGATTGGAAATTACTTAAAAATTATGTGTATAAATGTATACACCAATACAATCATATATGTATGGTTAAGTAGTTAAATCTAAATTCAATAATTTATTTTACCCACACGCACACGCGCGCGCATATATATATATATATATATATATATATATATATA